CTCGGGGCCCCTCCTGGGACGTCTCCAGCTTCCTACCCCCCAGCAGCTGGGGTGCGGGGCGGCGGCGTGGGAGGCCCTCGGGGTGGCGGCGGGGGGCCTGGTTCTGCCCGGCTAGGCCCGAGAGCCCTGGGGGCACACAGGGGTGGTCTCCCTCAGTGGCTCCAGCTCGTGGCACCTCCCTCCCTGCTGCTCCCCGGGCCTGACTCCGGGTCATTAGGGAAAGTGCCTGGACGGTCGCCCTGTAGTTCAGAGGGCATTTAGGGCACTTATCGGGCTGACCCTCAGCCCCCTGCTCCGAGCCCTTCCCAGCTGCGGAGGGAGGGGTCCACGCCCCTAGGAGGAAGCCTGGCTAAGAGGTTAGCGTGTCCATCATGAGCCCCCTGCACTGGCCGCTGATGGAGCCCGTTGGCCGCTGCCCAAGGCCCATCTGGCAGGACCCAAGGACTGACTGCCTCAGGGAGCCCGCCATGGCTCCGGGACAGCGCCTGTGACCCCCTTCTCGGGTGAGGGGGTGAGGAGCTGTGGGGAGCTCCTTGTGCTGGGGGCAGGGGAGAGAGAGGTTGGCGAGGCCGTGTCCGCTGGCTACCAAGAGAGGAGGACACGGATCTGAGGTGGCCCCGGGCACATACCTGTTCGTGTGACATTCACGGTGACACAGAGCAAACCAGTGGAACAAAGGGGTCCTGTGTTCAGAAAAGCCAGGCACCCAGCAGGAGCTCAAGGAAGAGGAAGAGCTGGGACACAAGCACAGCCAACCTTTCCTGCAGGCGGCCCCTTGGCAAACACAGGGCCCTTGGGATGCCCGGCCGCTCCCTGGGGCTCTGAGGTCAAGTGCGGCTCAGCTCCAGCGGGGCACGACCGTCCGCTGCGGCACACGGCCCCATGTGGACGCTGCGGCCAGCCCCCTCCTCCCCAGGAGGGGTTGGCTGTCCTGGGCTTCGCGGGATGGCAGAGACCAGAGGGACACCGGGAGGAAGATGGACAGCCCAGAAGGCGGGGCTTGTGGGGTCGATTCGCAGGGCCCCGGGGCCAGTCAGGTGACAAGGAGATTCAGCGGGGAAAAACCCACCCAGACCGGACGGAGAGCAAAAAGAAGGCAAAGTCTGAACCTCAAACACATATGAAAACAGGTACCCGTGTGGAGCGCGGAAAAGCATTAAAAACGCTAAGTTTGACAAATCTCTGCAAATCTGAGAAAAACCGTACAATTTGATTAGCTCCTGCCTGCACACCCCGTGAAACGGCGGCGTCCCCTGTCTGATAGCCACTGGCCCCGAAGGCCCCTTCCTCAGACACCGACTTCCTCCTGTTTCCCGTAAGAGAAAGACATCAGCCTCGGCCCCAGCGAGGGGCACCAGACCCTCGTCTCACGCCCGCCGGCCGCGGTGCATGGCGCTCGGTCCCATCCGGCACCGACGTGCTCTCTGGGGACCGTGGCCGGCGCGGCACGTCAGCGAGGCCTGACTGAGTCCACCTGCGGCGCTCACCGTCCAAAGAGCGTCGGTGTGGGGAGCACCCGGAGGCTTCCGACAGCGAGGGCTTGCGTGGAAACGGGCCGTCCGTGGGAAGGGAACGCTGTTTCCCGTCGTCTCAGCGCAGGGCGCGGACAAAGCCGCCGCACACTCGGGCCAGGCCGCCTGGAGCTGAGCTTGCCCCTCGTCCGAGACCCATCCGCTCACCTCGGCGCGGTGACCCGCAGCTGACGGTCCTAGGGGGGCGCCAGGGGCACCAGCACGGAGGGCAGTAGGAATCTTCCCAAAAGCCATGACCACCCTGGAAAGCCAGCCATAGCCCTACACACTCAAGTGACCGTCCCGCAGTCCCACTGAGCCCCAGACACTGCAGGCCACTGTCCGTGGTCCTACCGTGGGGCGGCAGTGCGCGCCAGTGGCCGTGGATGACAATTCCCATGCGCCACATGCTAGTGATGCGTACCCTGATGGGGGGGGGGCTACGGCCAGATTTCCTTTGCCCCTCACCCTGCGTCTCACCAGAGCGCCCCTCATGCCCTCGCAGCCCCTCAGGCGCCCCGACTCCCAGTGCCCCTTGCACCCTTTGCCCAGTGTGTGGAGACGGGCTGTCCGAGGGAAGGGCCTAGTCCCTCGGTCCCCGTGGGCCGGGCATCATACAGAAGCATCGCATGTGCACATGCTGTAAGCCTGTTCCTCTGCTCTGGTTGCCTTTAACCCCCATTTGTATTTTTATGGCGTTTCTTGTGACCCCAGGACCCACTTCCATGTCATAACGGTACTAGCTCAACTTTTCTTTTCGGGTCGCCAAAGCCTTGCTTTCCATAATTACACCTCGCCATCTGCCTGGAACCGTGTGCACGTGTGTGAGTGTGTGTGGTGTGAGGCAGGGACATCGGCTTCCAGACCTCGTCCCCACAGGCGAGCTCCATCCAGCCCCGCCCCCGTACGGACGTTCTCGCTGCATTTCAGACCCCACTCAGGTCTGGTCCTCAGCTGTCTCCTCGATTTTCAGGGTCCGTCGGGGCAGCCCAGCGACAACACACCACTCTCCTCGAAGCTGCGGCCCCTCCCAGGGGGGCTGAGACCGGCCAGAGCAGGGGCTCCCTCTGCTCACTGCTCGAGCGTCTCCTGAGCCCCAGTCTGAGCTCCTATCGCCTCCTCATCCCGATGCTGTTTAATTGCTTTTCTCGTTTTTCTCATTTTTCTCACCAGTCTGGCTGACAGTTTGTGGTCATGCACTGTTCCCAAACCGCCAGCTTAACCGCTGTTGGTTTTCCCCCATTTAAAAAATATTCTCGTTCCATTCTTTATAGCGTCTTGGTGTCTCGTTTCTCTAGGCTGCTGGTGTTATTCCTGATTTAGAGACGCAGCTCACGCGTTTTCGTCATTCCGCGGCTGTTTGAGAAAGGCAGGCGGCGCCCGGGGGGCTTCCCGTGGTTGCCCACCGATGCCTTCTCAGAGTTCGGAGGCTGGGAGCCCAGGACCGCGACGCCCGTGGATCCGGGGTCTCCTCCCTGGCCGAGGTCTTCTCGCCGTGTCCTCACCTGCTGGAAGGGGTGAGGCGGGGCTCTGGGTGTCTCGGCAAGGTCAGGACAAGGTCAGGAACCCTGTCTGTGGGGGCCCCGCCCTCAGGACCTACTCACCCCGAAACCCCACCTCCTCGCCCGGTCTCGCTGGGACTAGGAACCCAGCGGAGGAACCCACGGGGCCGCACGCATCCCGGTCTCAGCGTGCTCTCGGGACGCCTGGCTGTTTGCAGCGCCGTTGCAAGTCCTGTATTTTCCCCGCGATTTCCTCCTCGAAGCACGAGCCGGGGGAGGACTGGGCCGCGGATCGCCTTCGCGTACCACCCTGCTCGCCGGCTCCATTCTCGCAGCTTTGCGGCCGGAAAGGGGGGCCCCTGGTATTCCCCACGTTACCTGGGACGTGGGCCATTTTCCTGACTCTTCTGGGCGCGTTTTAACAGAAAGGAAGTCTTCAGTGGCCAGGCAGGGTCTTCGGACGCACGGATGTTGTCCTTCTGGTCTGGCGTCTTCTGCGTTGCTCTGCGCTTTTACACCTGGGACCTCTGCGCCTGGTGCTGCCTTATCGTCTCCCACTGGGACCGTGGGTTCGCCAAGAGCCCCAGGTTCTTCCCGCTGCTTTCACTGCCTGCATTTCGACACGGCCGGCTTTCCATTTCTTGACTGTTCTGCCTTCTTGCTAGACTGCTCCCTGCGCTGTGTTTATATTGGTCCCTTTTTGTCCCTACGCAGTGCTTCTGACCTCACGTTGCGTTTGGTCCGGGCGCCTGGGGGGCTCAGTGGGTGAGCCTCTGCCTCCGGCTGAGGTCGTGGTCGCAGGGTCTTGGGATCGAGCCCAGCCTTGGGCTCCCTGCTCAGCGGGGAGCCTGCTTCCCCCCTCCCTCTGCTGCTTCCTCGGCCCGCGCGCTCGCTCTCTCTCTCTCTCTCTGAAATAAATAAATAAAATCTTTTTAAATAATTGTGTTAGGTCTGCCCTGTTCTGCCGTGATGTGTGGGGAATCAGAGAGGACGTCGTCCGATCGCAGGCAGCTGGTCTCCCTCTCTCTGTAGGCAGGTTCTCTCCCATCCTGATACCACATGTGCATGAGCACAATGTCGTGTGTGCGCATGTGCCCGTGATGTCGTGTGTGCACACGTGCTCTGATGTCGTGTGTACACATGTGCGTGCGATGTGCGTGATGTCATGTGTGCACGTGTGCTGTGATGTCATGTGTGCACGTGTGTGTGATGCCGTGTGTGCGGTCGTGTGTGCACGTGTGATGTCATGTGTGCATGTGTACTTGTGTCATGTGTGCATGTTGCGTGTGGTGTCATGTGTGCATGTGTGCACGTGTGTGGGTGCGTGTGGTGCCACATGTGTGTTACTACACACCTATCTCCGCCCATCGCGGTTCTCCCCTTCTACTGCGGATCGATTCTGCTGTGTACACACAGCAGACAGGCTACGTCAAGCTGCCTGCTTGGCCGGTGTAGATGAACTCCTTAAATTCACGAGGTAAGTCCCTTCTCGATGCTGAATTCAAGGTTAGGGAGCCTGCCCGGAATGCAGGAGGGTCAGTGAGACCAAGCCCACGGCCCCCTGGTCCAACCTGCACCCTCTCTCTGGCGGCCAGCACGTCGGCCCCGCCGGTGGGGATGGAGGCGGCACGTCCTGCCAATTCGTGCGATCCCTGACGGCCTCCCTCACAGAGCGCCCCCGCCCCCGGCACTCAGACTCGCTTCCCTCCCAGGTAAGATCTGCAACTCTGTCCTCTGGCCAGTGGCCCTTCTCTGATGGTCCGTGGCGGTTAACAAGATTTGTTTGGTCCGACAATAATGACATTTTATCCGCTCCACTGCAGAACTGGCCGCCGTTTATGGCCGGGAGGGGAGTGGCCGGCTGTCTGTGCCAGGTCTCCTGGGGGCCCAGGGCCGAGGGGTATAAAGGCAGCTGTGTGAAGAGTGGGCACAGCCTGTTTGAGCCCCAGCGAGCGACCTGCTGGCAGCCGTGAGCCCAGACGGAGAGATGACGACCCTGCTGCTGACGGTTGGGCTCAGCCTTACTGCTGTCCTGCGGGCCCAGGACCCCCCAGCCTCAGAAGAGGACCCCGTAGATGTGAGGCTCAGATGGGGCAGGGGTGCTGGAGGGGGCTCAGGGAAAGGGGAGACGTTGTAGGCTCAGGCACTTACCCCTGTCCCTGAGGGAATGGTCAGAGCAAAAGGGGTCTGTGCCAGATGGGCCCCAGGGGACAGGGGGCCCTGGAGAAGGCTGGCCGCAGGCGGGTCTGGCAAGGGCACTGAGCATTTGCTGGGGAGGGTGGTGGGCTGAGAAATCCTCGTGCCTCCAGCGCTGGGGGGGTGGGGAGAGCCTGGGGCTGCAGAGCAGGAGGGGGACCCTGGAGGGGGTCGGCCTGAGCCCTGAGGAAAGTGAACCTTCTCCAGGTGTCAGGGAAATGGTACCTGAAGGCCATGACCGCAGACCAGGACCTGCCCGAGATTAAACCCGAGTCAGTGACTCCCATGATGCTCACAGTCCTGGACGGGGGTGACCTGGAAGCCAAGATCACCATGCTGTAAGTGTCAGCAGCCTGGGGGCCTGTGACCGCCCCCAGCAACCCCCCCTCCCCACATACCGGAGAGCCAGCGTCTGGGTGGGACAAGCAGTGCACGCTGGTGCCCTCGTAATCCCGCCTCACACTCAGCACTGGGCAGCGTTGGGGGACCATGCCATGGGGCTGCCTCACTGGCGGGGCCACGGATTAGCGGGGAAGCCCCGGAGGGCCAGAGTGGCTAATTGGGGGTGCGATGGCCCCGTCTCCTCCCCTGGGGGAGCCCTGGGGACTTGCCCCACGTGGCATATGGGTCCAGCAGGGACTTAGGGCAGGAGATGCCTGTGGCTCTGTTTCAGACCCAGGACATCACAGGGCGTTGTCCTAGGGCTGCTGGAGGCAGGAGGGGCACCCCAGGGCAGCACCCCGCGTGGCCCCTGTGTTCTAGGACAAACGGTCAGTGCCAGGACATGGAAGTGGTCCTGCAGAAAACTTCCGAGCCCGGCAGATTCACGGCCTGTGAGTCCTGGAGGTCGGCCAGCCCCCCTCCCCCAACGGGCAGAGCGGGCTTCCAGCCTGAGAAGTCTGCTCCTATCTGACCCCTTAAACCTACTGTCTCCTCTCATGAGCCAAACTGCCCTACAGACACGGACGGGCCCCAGTTCTAGGGGCACATTTGTCTCCAGGAGGGACGGGACTGTCCAGGGACTTCCGGTGACAGCTGTGCCCATGTCAGGGGCCAAGAGCACAGTCATGTTTGGAGGTCGGGGGGCTGAGCGCCCCGTGCCCCAAGCTCTTCAGAACCCACAGCCCAAGACTCCTCTGGGACCCAGGGGTGGGGTGTGGGGTGCAGGGACTCGGGGCAGGGTGGGGAGCCCAAGAGAGCGCGTGGGGGCTGGGCGGTCTGCCAAGCCGAGCCTGGGTGAGCGCGGGTTCTTTCTGGAGAATCCTGTGGCTCCTCCCGGACGTGTGCTGCTGTCCTCCCACAGACAACGGCAAGCGTGTCGTGTACATCCTACCATCGCCGGTGAAGGACCACTATGTCCTTTACTGTAGCAGCGAGTTCCACGGGAAGCAGGTCCAGATGGCCAAGCTCGTGGGTAAGGGTCACACATCCCTGCAGACGCTCTCCCTCCAGCTGCCCTCATTCCCACTGCTGGGCCTCAGGACCTGGTGCACAGCCCAGGTCCCTGTGGTGGGAGCCCAGCGGGAGCAGAGAGCTGCTGTGGGCATGGGGACTCCCGTGTCAGGGATTGGCCGTGCCGTGCCTGGGGCAGCGGGCAGGGGGGGGGGGGTGGGCAGCTCCACCTCCTCCCTGGGGGCCCAGACCTCCAAGTGCATGGGGTCCCGCCTGGGAAGGGAACGCCTCTGGGGCAGGGCAGGACCGCAGCTGCTCTCCTCCAGGGACAAGTCCAGGAGTGTTCCTCCCGGGCCGCCGCGCGGGCTCCCGCTTGATGCCCACAGCGGCCCGGCTCCCCTCCCAGCCCAGGGCCCTGGGTGCAACCCCCACGGGGGTGCGCGGGGTCCCGCCCAGGCTGCAGTGGAGATGCCTCCCGGGCGTGCCCCTCAGCCTCCTGTCTCCTGGTTCCCCCGACAGGAAGGGACCCCAAGAACAACCAGGAGGCCCTGGAGAATTTTCAGAAGTTCGTAAAAGCCAAAGGACTCAACCAGGACATCTTGGAACCCACACAGAAGGGTAGGAAGGAAGCCCGGCCGGTCCCGCCCAGTTGCCCCCACCTCCCCCAACAGTGGGGCCGTGGCAGACGCTTTCGGAGCACACACTGCATCTGACTGTGGCTTTGCTCTCTCCGGGGCTGGTGGACGCGCTGGCTGGTGAGGGCCCTGGGGTGCTGGTGGGCTCCCTGGGATCTCCTGGGTCACGTGTGTCTCCTTGTTCCCACAGAAACTTGCTCTTCAAGAGGAGACTAGGGTAAGTGGACAGTTGCCGGGGACCCATGCGAAAATGGCCTTGGAGCCCGTGGGATCTCAGGAGGCACGTGGTCTGCCCCCAACCCTGGGTCCCACCTGGGCCAGACAGACACAGCCACCAGCCCAGGGGGCATCGCCTGCAGACTCCGCTTCCTAGAGCAGCCCCCAACCCCGGCAGCTGGAAAACCCCTTCTGGGCGGTTGCGCCACGGGGCGATGTGCAGCCGGGCAACGGGCCTCCCGACAGGCCCTAGGGTGTGAAATCCCTCCTCGTCCCAAAACGGTCGTTGTGACTCTGCTCACACGATGAGTCCCTTCAAAGATCCAGAAATACGACGTCCGTGTGTGGGATTCTGTGCATCTCCTGGGTCCTTCCCTGGCTGTGTGTCAGGAGTTTTGGGGAACCCCCAGTTGCTGTCAGAGCCGGAATCGAGAACCGCATCCCGGCTCCTCCTCTGCCCCTCCCCCGGGAGGGCAGTCACCTTGTCACGGGCTCACACCCCGGCTGAGAGCCTCGGGGAGGCCCATGGGAAGCTTCTCCGTCCTCTGCTCAGATGCTCTGCAGCCCCCGCGAGCCAGCCTCACCGACACCCCTCCTTCCCAGGGCAGGAGGCACAACCATCCACTCCACGGCAACCCCGGGACAGCAGCCCCAGGACCCTCTGTCCTGCAGGACATGGAAGGAACCACCCCCCGGGGGACGGGGAACCTGGGCCCGCTCGACCCCTCCTGCCAGCCCCGCTCCTGTGTCCACATAAAGGGTTTCTGCAGTCCCTGGTGGCTCTGTCTGTGGGGTCCCTCGGGTGGGCAAGCCAGGGCGGGAGGAGGCGAGGACCCACCGATGTCCTGGTTCTCGGTGGCGGGGCCGCGAGTGGCCGGAGGGGGGTGGCTGCGGCTCTGCCGGGGGGTCCCATGGGGGCTTTCTGCAGGACTGACCCCCACGCAGCTCAGGTTCTGGGTGGTTCTGTGCTTGGGGGAGAGGCCTGATCCACAGAGCTACCCAAGTAAGGCTTGTGAGGCTTGCAAAAGGGAAGCCTCAGCTCAGGTCGGGGTTTGCAGAGTCCCCTGGGCCCTTGGCATTGGTCCTGTATCCGAGCAGCCTGCACGGGGCAGCAGGGAGGTGGGAGGGGACCAGCAGCTCAGATCAGGGTATGGCTGGGGTCTGGGCCGTGTTGGGGCCAAGGAAGCCGGGCCCTGCTTCTTAGTCCCATCCGTCGGAGCCCCCGCCCTCCCTGGTGCTGCTCGAAGCTGGCCGCGCGTGTCCGGGCAGGTTTGGGAAGACGAGTTACACCCCCGGGGCAGAAGAACCACAGGAATCTGTTCAGACGCCTTTGCGGGTTCCCGGTGTTTTCTAAGACTCAATCTCCAATGGCCCAACACGACACAGTGAGACACAGTGACACTTGGAGATGAGAGGGAGAGCTCCTGGCTACGAGGCTCTGAACATGGAGGGCTGTTGGGCAGGACCAGGCAGGGGCCGCACCGGGGACGGGGTACCAGGGGCTGGTGATGTCCACATAACGCACGTGCAGTGGGGTGAGCTGGCGTGCCCGGGCTCCCTGTGTGGACTGGCTGCTGACACAACCTGGGGGGCCCTGGGGTAATTAGGCTACGCAGCACCCGAGGGCCTCCTTGGAGCAGACACTCCCGACACCCAGTCAGGGTCCAGCCGCCCGGCTCCCAGGTCACCTGTGACAGGTGCACGGACACCCAATCCAGGCTCCGAGGTCACCTGTGGTGGTGCACAGGTTTCAGGGCAATGTTTCCACTTCATGGCTCCTGTGGGGCCACGGGAGACAGCTCAGAGCTTGGAGGGCAGTTGGGGTATGGGGTGTTCAGCTTTCCATCAGTGAGGGCACTGAATGGACACGAATGCCAGTGCACTGTCCTTCCGGGCAAGCATCACCGCACTTCCGTGGTGGCTCACAGAGTCTCTCTGGACCAGCCTGGGGCTCAGTTGTGTCAAAGCCCCCGACTCAGTCTCTCCACTTCCTCCCGCATCCTGGGCAACACCAGACAGACTACCGGGACCCAGTCCCTTGTCCCAGGCCCTCGTCCCAGGGTGTCTGGGGAGAACATAAGTTTAGATGTCCCTCGTAAGACTCCATGTTCCCCTGGTAGCCCGGCTGTCCCAGCGGGCGCCGTGAGGACAAAGGGCGTGCTTCCGAACACAGCTCCTCGCCAAGGCTCGGGCTTGGAAGGACGTCCACTCACAGAGAGTGACAGGTGTGTCAGGCTCCAGCACGTGGCCCCAAACCTACGCCCTCAGACTGGCCAGGCCGACGGGGCCAACTCTGCCTGGGCTCAGCCAGGCACATGGCGTCACCTCCATGGGACCTTCCCTGAGCTGGGATCCGACCAGAGCCTCCCTCAGCACCGCCAGAGCCTTGCCAAGACCCCTGAGCTCTGTCCTGGGGGCAGCAGGGCTGGGACTGCTTTCTGGGGGTTGAGGGACATTTTGGAAGTGGTGGTGTCCCTCAGGCTGGTGGTGAAGAAAGAAAAAAACACATGGCCAGGTCTCGGGGCTTCTGAGAGACCAGGGGATCCACAGGGACCCCCCCACCCAGAGCCACCACCCATTCCAACCACCCTCCCATCCATCTGTGGCTCACTCAGCATCTCGGCGGAGCTGTCTGGGGCCACAGCACGCGGGCTCTCCCAAAATGCAGAAACCTTCCGGCCATGGGCGTCCCTTCTCTCCGACTCCCCGTGGGGGCCCGCTGGCCAAACAGAGGCGCCGTAGAGGGGCCAAGAGGGGAAAGCAGAGCTTCCTGTTCCCCTATCTGCCCCCCACTCCTGGGCCCTGACCCCTCCCGGACGCGGCCCGGCCCGGCGCCCCCAACCCGCCGCCCCCAACCCGCCGCATGCCCCCATCCCAGCGTTTTCACTTTGGCCTCTCTCCAGGTAAGGTAGCGGCTGTGTGAGTCCGGGCGGGCTCCTGCTTTCTTTCCAGCCTTTACGGACGGCAGCCCGCCGGCTTCTGCCCCCGGGGGTCCCTGATGAGCGCCGATGCCTACCTGACCTCTGTCCCCGTGTGCCGCGTACCACGTCTCTCTGACAGTCTCCGGTTTCTCTGCACGTTTGGTCCCTCTCTCTAAAAAAGTAAATAAATAAAATCTACAGAAAAGGAGCGTATGGACTTTACCCTTTTAAACAGGCATTTACCGGGGCGCCCGGGTGGCTCAGTGGGTTAAGCCTCTGCCTTCGGCTCAGGTCATGATCCCGGGATCCTGGGATCGAGCCCCACATCGGGCTCTCTGCTCTGCGGGGAGCCTGCCTCCCCCTCTTTATTCTGCCTGCCTCTCTGCCTGCTTGTGATCTCTGTCTGTCAGGTAAATAAAATCTTAAAAAAATAAATAAATAGGCATTTACCTCGTCTGGAGCCCAGCTTCACCCTGAGGTCCCTGCGGGGCGGCTCCACGTCCGTCCTGCGGGCTCATGTTTCAGGGTGAGCCCCAGACTCGGACCGTCCCCCAGATTTGGGGCCCTGACTCCCTGGCTCCTTTCTTTCCAGGATTTGTCCCTTCCCTTTCTGGCGGCCACGATGGCCCTGTCCCGTCCCCTGGTTCTCAAGCCGGGAGGGGCACGGCGTTTCTGTGGGAGACCAGGCCTGCCTTCGGGACAGAAGCAGCGTGACCTTCCTCCCGGTGCTGACCGACCTCCCCCGGAGCGCTGTTTCCACACTTTGCCCAGCGTTAACCCCGCACCCCCGGGGTTACAGCTGGAGGCGGAGCGCCGGCAGCTGGTAAAGGACCAGCACTGACAATCCCAACAGAAGAGGACGTGAGGACTGAGAAAGGGCCACTGTCCCCAAACCCTTGCGGGGCCCTCGGAGTGCACGTCGGTGCCAGCTGGGAAATTTGACCCGGCTTTATGAGGCGAAGACAGAATGTGGGCGTCCCAGGTGGGGTTCCTGGGGCGTGCACTCCGCTCATCCCCCCCCAGTTTGGCGGGGGTCGGTGGAGGTCTAGCCCAGGGCACAAGTGGCCAGCAGTCCTGCAGAGCCCCGGCTGCTTGGGGTGTGCTCCTGCCCCCAGGAGAGCCCAGCGGGGACTCAGAGGGACTCGTGGTCAGGCAAGATGCCTGGGGCCCCGCATCACTGCGTCACTGCCTCTCCCCCACGCCTCACACACTCAGATAACCCAGCCCCAGGTCTCCGTTCCCCTCTCTCGGCTCCAGGCTGACACTGGTCCTGGCGAGCTGGGGGACTTGCTGCCGCTGGGTAGAGCAGAAGGGAGCACCTGAGGACCTGGGGCTCCCGGGGGCTCCCCTGCTGGCGCCGCCCTACCCGGGAACAGCCATGACGAAAGCCTCAGACCCAAGCACTTGGGACCCCCAGAGACCAGCGTAGGGATGGCCCCTCTGGCAAGTGGCCTAGAGAATGATGGGAACCCAGAATGAAGCCGGTTCCTGGGAAGCCATTGTCACCGCAAGGCCTGACGCTTGACCGTGCCCTCCCACGTGGGATCCAAGTGCAGGCCTGTGGGCGGAGGGCGGGCCAGGAGGGAGCCCAGCCCGGCGTCTGCCTCCTCCCCTGCTCCTCTCTCCTTTCCCGGAGACACCTGGCAGCAAGCAAGACACCCAGCAGCCCTCATCCACTGGCAGCTTTCTGGAGAGTTCCACGGGTACCCCAACCCACCAGCCCCAAGCCCGACAAAGGTTTCTCCCCTCCGGCGGAGTCTGCCTCCCACGGTGTCTGCTCCTGGACGCGGTCCCGGGCCTCAGCCCCGGGTGGATCTGCTGGTCCTCTCTGATGTCCGTCCTTTACAGTCCCCGCTCCCTACGTCCAGTTACTAATTCTTTACGTTGAGCTGGGCATGGGCTCTCTCTCCTGAACCCCGACCCACTGACACGGGACCCTTCCCTTCATGCTGAAAGTGGTTCTGGGAGGGATGCCTGGGGGGCTCTGTGGGCGAAATGTCTGCCTCCAGCTCCGGCCATGACCCCAGGTCCTGGAACGCACCCCCGTGTCAGGCTCCTGGCTTAGTGTAGAGCCTGCTTCTCCCTCTCCCACTCCCCCTGCTTGTGCTCACTCTCTCGCTGTGTCTCTCTCTCTCTCAAATACATAAATAAAATCTTTAAATAAGTAAATAAGCAAGAGCAGCTCTGGGATCGCAGCCTCCCTGGACAGCCCGCAGGGCAGGCCTCAGTCCATGTTGGAGGACGCCCCCGGCGGCCCGAGGTGACGTGACAGTCCAGCCTCTGGAGGCCCAGGCAGACGGGCGACTTGCACACAATTCAACGCTGAGGCCGGCCCTCTGAGCCTCTCAGAATCGACACCACACGGCTCCTTGGCCGAGGGTTTCCGGGAGCGGGAAGCCAGGTGCTCCCGCAGGGTAAGAGGGGCTGCTCCTGCTCAGGGAGAGGGGCCACCATCCTCACCTTACACCTGGACCGGGGCTCCCGTCCGCATCCCAACCGTGGGCGTCACGGGCCACTCCTTCGTCATCTCCCCGACTCTCACAGGACAGACCTGGCAAGGTTTGAGTTCCACCCCTGGTGCACTCCCACAGCCCACGGCATTGCGCTGGGGTCCGGAGTCAGGCCCCTGTGTCCTGAGGCTGCTGGAGGACACAGCGACGCTAATGCCCTTACAGAAGATCTCTACTGACCTGAGCCCCGAAG